CTGGAAGTTCCCAAGGACGGGGCTTGGAGCAACCTGGGATAATGGAAAGTGTCCCTGCCATGGCAGGGGTGGAACTGGAGGATTTTAAGGTCCCTTCCAGCTCCTGTCAATCTATGATTCTACCCCTGGTCCCTGCTCCCTCTGTTGGGAGCGACACTCAATCTGTTTAATGATTAAAAAACCCAAAACAAACAGTGTCCTTCCGCTTCTCCAAAGTGGAACAAAAGATAAAACCCCTTAGAAAATCTGGGAGAAGGGGAGGAGAGGGAAATGGGATAACAGAGCTTTTAAAAGCCTGTTGCTTCGCAGCTATCCCTGTCGTGGCTGCTTTCCAGAGGTACTTGGATGATCCTCTGCCTGGCAAAAAAGAAGTTCTTCAAACCCATCATTTGATGGGCACATTATTCCTCAGAAAAGGAAATGAAAATCCAGGTTTGGTGTTTAGGAATGGAACTGCAGCAATCCAGGAGCCGGAGATCTTCACTCAGGTAGATTTGAGTGGTGCCCCAGGGCTGGGAGATCCTTCAGGTGGGGTTGAAGGGCACAGAGGACTTGGATCTTCAGGGAAGTTTGATCCCACAGCCAGCAAGGGGAGATGTGAAGTTCATTTGGTGCCTGGCTCGTGGGGAAAGCTGGACATGTGCTAAGAACTAACTGGGAATTCATGTCCCAGTTTGGCTTTGTGGCACTGGCTGCTGGATCAAAAGCCCAGGCTTGGCACAGCAAACTGGAAGGGATAAAATGGAATTTTTCCTTTCCTAGATAAAAATGATCATAAACAAGACTAAATCTGGGATGGGGACAATCTTGGTGGGTTTTTTTAGCGCTACACCTTGGCTTCTTATCAGGCATTCACAGGTTTTTCTTTTCCCTTGAGCTGTGCAGGAGCACCTGATGGTTCCTCTCCTGTTGCTGTGCCCCGGGGCTCCTCTCACACCCCGCACTCGGAGCAGATGCTGTTTAAATGTTCCAGGAGGAACTGTTGGCAAATGGGGGATGACAGGTTGCAAAAACAGGATAAAATAGCAGGAGTTTCCAAGGAGAGGTTGGAGAGGCAGGAAAGGAAAGGGGGGACAGTCTGGAGATGAGCTGGGCCAGGCTTGACTGGGTTGTGAGAACCCTGTGGAGGTGCAGACTGTGCAGGGCAAGGCTGGCAGATTTTCCTGGTTCCTGGAGGGCTGGAGCAGGAAATTCCGTCTTGCTCTGCCCTCATTCCACCCTGAATCCTTGGATTGCTTGGGGAGGAGCTGCAGAGAGCTCCATTTCCATGGACATCCAGCTCCCCTGGAGATTTCCACAGGGTACTGGGTTCAAATGGAGTGAAGCAAATACGTAATTTACGGAATCACAGAATCCCAGCACGGTCTGGGTTGGAAGGAACCTTAAAAGTCATCCAGTGCCACCCCGTGCCATGGGCAGGGACATCTTCTACTGTCCCAGGTTGCTCCAAGTCTCATCCTGGCCTTGAACACTTCCAGGGACCCAGGGGCAGACACAGCTTCTCTGGGCACCCTGTGCCTCCCCACCCTCCCAGGGAAGGATTTCTTCCCAATATCCCACCTAACCCTGCTCCCTGTCAGTTTGAAGCCATTCCCTGTGTCCTGTCACTGCTGTTCCTGCTGATTTGCAAAACCTCGTAGTGCAAAGCACTGAGACAACCCACAGGGAATTTTTTTTTCCCTCTTGATCCTCTCCTTGACCCCTTGGGAAATGTCCCATGGGAGCCGTGCATCGACTCTGTGTGCAGCAATCCATTCCCATCAACTGGAAAGGGAAATTTGACTTTCTGATCAGCTCATCACCCTGTGGAATGGCTGTCCTTGAGCCTGGGATTAATTAGGACTTAATTAATTAATGACCAAAAACTTCATCATCAGGCTTCCAGCTCTCCTAGGCCTGTCCTGAACCAGAAGAAGGGAATTAAAGGAGTGAATTCCAGCTGGGAAGTTGTTAGCAAGGCTGTGCATCCCTTGCTTTGTGGGATGTGGCTGATTCATCCTGCTGAATCCAAGATTCCCACAGGTGAACAGGCACCGGCCAGGACCAGAGGCTGCAAGGTTTCCTTGGCCAACTTCTGTTTTAGATATTAAGCCGTGCCTTGTGAACCTTGAGGAATTCAGCTCCCAGGGCAGAGGAAATGTTGGAAGGGGTCAGGCGAGCTGTGCTCTGTCCGTGTCACTGGGAGCAGCCAGCAGCATTCCAGGACAACATCTGATTTTGTGCTTTTTACGAGGCAGATGTTTGGGAGAAGGGATGTGCTGTTTATTCGAGCTGCCATCTCCCAGCTCCTCCCTCCGCGCGCGCTCGCACCCGGAGCCCATAAATAAAGATTCTTGGGATTATGCCGCCGTTTGGGCAGCCCTGTCTTCCATCAGGGCCTGGACAAGCTGCAAACCCCGCTCCCCCTGCACCTCAGTTTTACAGGGGAATAAATCAGTGAGGGCTAAATCCTCTCCCAGTGACACGAGGATAAATCCGGGATGGCCGCGCTGACGTCGACGCCGTGATGGAATTGCGAAGGGGAGTTTGATTCCTTGATTTCAGAGCGGTGCAGCTGATTTATTCCAAAAGAGTTTGGGCTCAGCGTGCCCTGGGACTGAAGAGCAAGGAGGGGTTTGCTCTGGGATGCAGTGCTGACAGCAGGGCAATTCCATGGATTCTGCTGGAATTAAGTTGATGGAAATGAGCAGAGTTTGGGCCTCAAAGAGCTCCAGGTCATTAATGAATGGATTAATCCTGTGTGAAGTGATTATTCCCATTGCCTGACACTATTCCAGGAGAGCCCCACAGGGGTGGATCCCACCCTGTGGCTTGTGTTGGGATGATGATGGAGAGCAGGGCAGCGGTGCCCTTGTGCCTTGGTGGGCACGAGGCAGATATCCCATGGAAATCCCAGCTGGTCCCAGCAGGTGGAGGAACTTCCCCTGGAGTGGTGCCAAGAGCTGGTCTGGAGGGGTGGGAATGATGCTCTTGGCTGCACTTTTCTCCTCCAAGAGGACCCAAGAAGTTTTTGAAGGCAGCGATCAGGGTGTTAATCCTTACTCACTTGCTCCTCTAGGTTTTACCTCTTTTTTTAAAAGGATTGGAAGCAGGAGAATGTAAAAGAGGTGCTGTCCCCTCTCTGCTGTGGATCCAGCCTGCAGCCTGTGGGTTTAAGCAGTCTGGGGGATGTTTTCTCTTAAAAATTAATATTAATAATTATGGTTATGAAGTGGATATTTCCTCTTGAAGCTGTAGGGCTTTCCCAACAACTCTAAAGAGACTTTGCAAAAGAGTGCCTGGAATTCTGGTGGCTGCTTTTAGGGAAGCTGGAGATCCCAGTGGTCACTTCAGAGCCTTGCCCCATAAATACCACGGGACCCAGGGTGATTTACACCCCTCTGCTGGTGTGGCACGGCTGCTTTCAAGGTCCAGGAGAAGCCCTGGAGGTGCCACCGAGCAGGACATGGGGTCAGAAGCTCAGGGTGGACCTGGGACCTACTGAGAGTGAGCTGGAGGTGCCTCCCTGGGCTGGAAGGTGCCCGTGGAGGTGCAGTGAGAGGTAACAGAACATTGTCCCAGGTTTTCCACCCATTTTGTCCTCACTGCATGACTCTGCTCATGGTTTGCCAGGAGGGAAACCAAACCGGGGTTATTGCCATGGAAACTGGAGATGGGGTGGGAAACTCATCCAGTGGGGCAGCAGGAAGAGGGATTTGGACTTCTGTCTCCTGTCAGGCTGTGTGGCTTGGAACACCACGCAGTCATTACCCAGAAACATCGACTTCCTTTGTTTTCCTGGGAAAAACCAAACCAGGATCTCAGCCCCTGACCTGAGAGGGATGGGGGTGATGAGCAGCACCACTATAACGAGCAAAGCCCTCTAATTACAACAGCAGCAATTAAACCCCAGTGCTGAGGGATGCAGAGCTGGAAGCACAACCTTGCAGAGCTCCGTGGCTCCATTTCCTGAACACAGAAATTGAATTATTTTGGAATATCCCCTTTTCTTCCCACTTGAACTCCGCAAGTGCCTTTGCCCTGGGAGCTCCAGGAAAGGTTCAGGTTTCCTTGGAAGCTGACAAGCACCATCTATAGGATTGCTGCAGAAGAGGCCTCGGGCTCCCAGCTGATGAAAAAGGGCAGAGGAGCTTCACTCTGAGTTTCCAGATTTGCTCTGGAAAAACTCCAGCATGCTCAGCATTCCACAGTACACAAAGTCACAGCTTTCATCATCCATCCTTCGTGTCTGGGTGCATTGTCCAGGAATTTGCTGGAATTGCAGAGCAGGGATTGTTTCACACAGGGATTTTCTTGAGAGCTCATAATCTGCAAGGTTTCCAGTTTTCCTCGAGAATTGTAGGGCCAGGACAAGGGGGAATGGCTTCAAATAGAGAGAGAGGTGGGATATTGGGAGGAAATTCTTCCCTGAGAGGATGGGGAGGCCCTGGCATAGGTTGGGGAGGGAAGCAGGAAGGGAAGACGGGAGCAAGGAAGGAAGGAAGAAGGGATAAACACGCTTTGTAGGGCAGATGGAGTGCACATCATCTTTCTAAAGAGATGCTGGCAAGGGACAGTGGTGCAAATCATCCCTATCACGTTGGATCTACATCCTTGATTTGCACAAGAAATACCACTCCAGTTTGGATACCCAGAATTCTTCTGAGAGAGGCATTGTGTTCCCAAAGAACAGATATGGGGTTTTTTTTCCTCTCTGCAGATCCATTTTGGCTTTAAAGCTGTTTTCTTCTCCTACACGCACAGATGATAATCTTTTACATGTCCTTATTAAAAAATATCACTTCCAGAAAATAAAAACACCAGCATATTCTGTGCTTGTTTCTTTCTCTATCTCTGAATTAATTTCCCTTTTTTTCATCTGACTTGTCAGTCATTTGATATCTCCACAATCAAGGAAAGAGGTTTAATCCCTCTCCTGGTTTTGGCAACTGAATCCCTCCACTATCCCAACATCTCTCTGCTAAATTAATGCTGTTTTCCTTTCTCTTTTTCCCCCACAGAGATCCCTGGATGTCCAGGAATGGTGGAGAGCTGAATGATCCAACCTCTGTTCCTCACCACCCTGAGCTCACGAGGGCTCTGGAGAGATGGAGTGGGAGCATGGCCTCGCTTCCCTGAGCCAGGGGATGCTGTGGGAAGTGATTGCCTTGGCAAAGGTCCTCATCCCAACCCATCACCCATCGTGCAGCACCTCCAGGAGAAGCTGAGGAAGGACAACCAAGGGACCAGGAGAGGCTCTGAGAGCCTTGGAGGGCACCAGGAGAGAAGCTGCAGGAACTGAAGGAGTTCAGTCCAAACCATGACAAAAGGTGCCAAGGGGTTATTTTTCCCCTTGGAAAACCCTTTCCAAAAGGGAGCACCAGGCCCACGTGTGGTCTCCAGCTGGTTTGGAAGGGGCAGATCTCACAGCCAGCTCAGGAGCCCAGCAGGACGTGCTCATGGCAGCCTGTCCATGGGCTGGGTGGGGATCCAGGTGGAACAGGAATCTGTCCAAGACCAAGAGAGAGGAGCACGAAAGAATCCTTCAATTTATTCTGTGCTTGTTTCTCCTTCTGGTGTCTTCTCTGTCTACCTCTTCTTCTCTAGAGAGCACGGGGGGCCCTGACTGTCACAGCAGAAGGATTGGCACTGGGCAGGAATGTGGCCTTTGTTCGCTCCTTGCTCCAAAAAATCTCCAACTGTCCTGCCTGGACCAGAGCCATTGGAAAGGCTGGGACCTGACAATCCGTTTCCTTGCAGGAAGTCACATTTTAGCAGGACCAGCCACCCTTGGGAGCCAAGATTTCCCACCTGAGGCTCAAAATATGACAGAACATCCATCCCTCTCCTGCAGCTGTGGCAAGGGGCACGCTGAGCTCCTGACTTTGGATTGATGAAAACTCATTAAACAGCGAAAGAGATGGAGGGACTTAGGGTGTCAGGCAGAACACAGCAGGAAAACCTGACTGAAAACCATAAAAATTGTGCACCTTGGACTGGCAGGTGGTGGTGGTGGCCCAGCTGCTGCTCTGTGGTCACTGAGCTGCTCCCAGACCTGGGCAGGACGTGCTGGTACTGAACTGTGGGAGCCCCATCTCAGACCTTCCCTCTTGGGCTTCCAGCTTCCAGAACCTTCCCCTCAAGTGCAATCCTATTTATTTATTTATTGTCTCACTGCTTGATGTGAAGCTGCTAAAGGAGCCCCCTCCCCACAACAGCCAGGTGTGTGTGAGGGCACTGAGAGAGGGGCAGGACACAGGGACAGCTCCCAGAACACCAGGAGTGTGCTCCTGGAGAAGGGGTCCTGCTCTGGTGGGGGCATTGGTGATCTCGGTGGTCTTTAAGGTTCCTTCCAACCAAAACAATTCTGTGGTTCTGTAAGATCTGAGAAGGATCATCCCCATCCCTGGGAGTGTCCAAGGATGGCTGGATGGAGCTCTGAGCAACTTGAGCTGGTGGAAGGTGTCCTTGCCCATGGCAGGGGGTGGAACTGGATGAGCTTTAAGGTCCTTCCATTCTAGGATTCTATGGACAGGGAGTGGGCACACGAGGGAAAAGCTGAGACCAGAACTGCTGTCCCTGGGGTGAGGATGCAATGTGGATCTTCCAAGGACTAAGAGCAGAGCTTTATTGGGAAGGACAGAGGCTGCAGGAGCTCAGCAGTGCCCCTGTATCCTGATTTTCTTTGTGCTGGGCTATGAGAGCCTTGCCTGGAGGGCTCTCAGGTACCCTGCTGCTCTCCCACAGCTTTCAGAACACCCCAAAATCCCTTGGCACAGCTCCAGCTTCCCTAGGAGAACCTGATTTCTCCCTTCCCTCTGAGGAGCCCCACCAAGGCTTTGTCCAAACCTGCTGAAGGGAGATTCCCAACAAAAACCTGTTCCTCAGAAGATTCCTGGCTGGCTCCAGTCCCTTATTCTGTACTGGAAACACTGTCCTTGGGATTGTTTGCAGGTTTGGGATGTGCATGGGGTTGTGGCAGTTCTCCTTCTCCCCAGTCCCTGATGTGCAAGAGCAGGTACAGGGAGAGGAAGGGATGAACTTGCTCCAATCATTTGCCAGCCTAAAAGCAGGGACCTGCCTGCAGAGCTGTCCAAACCCATCTGCCTGCAGCCCTTCAGCCTTGTTCCATGGATTCCATTCAATGTGGATCTATTTTTAAGTGCCCTGAGCTCCACAGCAGGAGCTGCTGGGAGTTTTTCCACCTGCATTTTCTCCTGGAAACTTCATTCCATATTTCCTTGTGCTGCTCCTCAAGCACCTGCTGTTCATGTTGTCCTTCCACTGACCATTGCTCCTCTTCCCCTCCCAAGAACCTCCCTGGCCCCCTGGCTGCTGCTGCTCCCTGTCCTTCCCGTGGATCAGCACAGGATGAGCCTGGTCATTAATGAGTCTGTCAGGGATCCAAACCCATCCCTGGAGCAGCCTCTGGCAGTGCCCAGCAGCTGCTCCCTCCCTCATCTGGGGTGCAGGGAAGGGGCAAACAGAGCCAAAATGGATCAGTGTTGGCACTGAGTGCTCATATCCCAAAATACCAGGAAGAAATCCTTCCCTGTGAGGGTGCTGAGGCCCTGGAATGGATTTCCCAGAAAAGCTGTGGCTGTCCCATCCCTGGAAGTGTCCAAAACCAGGCTGGATGGGGCTTGGAGCCACCTGGGCTAGTGCAAGGTGTCCCTGCCCATGGCAGGGGTGGGAATTAAATCGTCTTTAATGTCCCTGCCAAACCAAACCATTCTGGGATTCTGTGATCCCGCAGGGAGAAATCCCTGGCAGGAACAAGTGCATGGCCAAAGCCCAGCCTGAGCTCCAGCAGTGGGGATGCTCCAGTATTCCCTGTGGAAGCTGTGGGGAATGGGGAGCCGTGATCTGTCCTGCCTGGAAGCCTCATCCATGGGCTGGAGCTGCAGCTCTGCACGGGAGGAGAGCTGCAGGGAGCTGGGAGCGGGCGTGGGGAGCTCGGGGTGCAGCTGCAGCACCACGGGGAGGGTCACGGCTCTGTTCTCCTCACCGAACAAGCTGTTCTGAAAAATAAAGAATGGAAAGTCCTGCTATTCCCACTCTTCTTTTCCCCGGGTGGCACCAGAGGGAGGGGATGGCTGGGGGAACACAAAAACGCCAGGGCGGTTTGGGGGGGCGGTGGCTGCCAGAGGGAGGGGTTGGATGCAGTCGGGATAACCAGGGGGATTCGAACAAACACCGGTGGCAGAGCCTCCCCAGGGATTCCTGGTGCTGCTGGGTGATGGGCAATAAATCCAGGTGGGAATGGGCTGTGGGAGAAGGCCGGAGTGGAGCTGGCCAACAGCAGGGCAGTGGTGTGGGGCTGCGGGAAGAGGAGGCGTCAAACAAACCAAGGAGGAGGAAAAAAGAGGGTGAAGAAGGTGCTGAGCATCCCAAGGGTTCCACAGGATGACAGCAGAGGAATCTGGGCTCTGCTGTGTGGCACTGGGCTGGTTCTTCACCCAAATCTCACATCAGCTCCTTAATTGCTCCTCCCCATCCCCGCTGTTTTCCTGGGTGAGCCAGGGCAGGGTGGCAGTGACAGCACTGCAGCTTCTCAGGAGCGTTTGGCAGGGGAAAAAAATCGGTCCCCAAGCAAGGAAAGAATCAAAATGACACATTTCCAGCTGAATTAATGATGAGACAGTTTATCATCCCAATTAAAAGCAGTGGAGATCCTGGAGAGCCCTAATCCATAAAGATGCTCCAGGCAGCAGCACCCTGGGGTTTCACACTCCTCTGGCAGGAGCTGCAGGCAGCACTGCCAGGAGGATTTGGGAATTTTATCACAGGACAGCCTGAAAAACTTCACAAGTCCCTGTGGAGTCACGTCCTGCTTTTCAGTGCCCCTGAGAGCCCCCAAACTCAGCAGCTCATCCCAAACCTGTGGGACATTCCCAAAATCACCTTTTGTGCCACCTTCCCACATCAGAGCCTTGCCCAGCCTTTGCAGGATGGATTTTCCTCCAGGATGAATTTTCCTCCACGATGGATTTTCTCCAACTCCCAGCCTTTGTATCTGGATTTAGAGAGCTCTGGGGTCAGCCCTGGGTTTCGGGACCGGGTGAGCCTTGTTTGCCAAGAGCCCACACAACTCCAGACAGCCCTGGAAGTGTCCAAACATCTTCCTGGAGTTCCTAAAGCTTGAGAGCAAAGGGCTGTGAGGAGATGATTGCAGCACATCGCTGCAATAAACCCTTTCTTCATCCTTTCATGGTCCGAGGTATGAACATGAATTATGACAACTTTAAACCTCCTGAGAGCAGCTTTTTTAAACGGCTGGTAAAGAGCATTGTTAAACCGAGATGTCAGCGCTTGCTGGCTGAATGAGGCTGTTTTACGAGGCACTTTAATCCTTCCAGGAATCCAAAGACCCCTTTTCCACCCACAGATCCACTCCTTGTTTTCTGTCCTGTTTGTCCCCCGAGGCTGTGATGCCAGTCACCTCACCCCATCGCTTCCAGATGTTTACAGGTTCCTAAAACCCCACATCTGGCTGGGTTTGGGGCTGCCTGGCAAACAGCAGTGGCTGCAGAGAAATCAGGGGATTGTCTTGTGACTGCTGCAATTTTTAAGGTCATTTTGCCAGCAGGGCTGTCAGCCCTCAGCAATCCCTGTGGGATGTGGCTTCTGGGCATGGATTTTGCTGGAGGATGGAGGAGGATTGAGGGGCTGTGCCTTCCAAGAGCTGTGGTCACCTCAGGCACAGCCACATCCCTTTGGGATGATGCTTCATCTCTCAGCATCCTTTCCAAATCCTGCTTTAAAATTAGCAGCAGGTACTTTCCTTTTCTTCCTTATTTCCCTTCTGGAAGCTGTGCTCCTTTTCCTGTTTTCCTTATTTCCCTTTTAAAGGTTTTATCCTTTTCCCTGCTGCCTTGACCCCTATATCACTCCTGAGATTTTCCTTCCTGGGCCATAAGCTGAATTCTGGGTCTCACAGCCACATTTATTTCAATTCAAAAGGCACAAATCCCAGCAAATGTTGGATTAAACCATTCCAAGCTGGTGATTTACCATCATTCTCATTGCTATAGGAGAATGTTGAATTCCCAGATGCTCTGGATTGGTCTCCATGGAAATTGGTGGGAACCTGTGGATTGCACAGTCCTGAGGCTGAGGTTTTCTCTCCTCATTTGAGGATGTGATGGGGGCTGCTCTGTTTTGCTTTTCTTGTCAGTGAAATTCCTAATGAAAATAGGAATGTGCCCAGCCCAGGCTGTCACCTGACACCAGGAAATGAAAAACAGGAAGGAGGGGCATTACAGAAATGGAAATTATGGTCATTAAAGCACAAAAAAATCCCATCTGAATAAATCTGGACATTATAAACACCCAGCTGGTTCATCCATGCTGCATCCACAGCTTGTTGTGGCTGGAAACTGGAAAAGCAGGGAATTATCCAGTGCTGTTAACCATTAACTACTTACTGCAGGTTCTGGCTTCAGCCTGCAGGCAGAGCCGCTGTTTTTAGGAGTTAATCTTCCTTCCAAGGCTACCCAAGGCAATGGAAAGGCTGGATGAGTGTCCAGGGATGCAGGTGACAGTGAGCTGTGTTTGCAGTGGCAACCAGGCAACTGAACAGGGAGCTCCAGGTGGCTCCGGTGGCCCCAGGTGTCACAGAAGCCACGTGGGAAAGAGGCTGGCCGTGGAAGCTCAGATCTAAATGGTCAAGAAAGTCTAAGCAGAATAAAACCAGGCAGAGGGGACATCCCAGAGGTAACAACAGCATCCAAAGGGATCCCTGGTTCAGCAGAGGTCAGGGAAACATCAGGAAATGAGGACCAAAGGAAAGGATGATTCTTCACCAAGGACAAAGAGGGATGGGTTCAAGAAAGAGGGGAAATTTAGATTGGATACTGGGAGGGAATTCTTCCCTGGCACAGGTGCCCAGAGAGGCTGTGGCTGCCCCTGGATCCCTGGAAGTGCCCAAAGCCAGGCTGGACATTGGGGCTGGGAGCCTTGCATGAAACATCAGGAAAATTGTAGAGCCAGAAAAGAATTCCACACCAAGCAGGGGGAAGGTTCTGTGTTTTGTTTGTCAGCTTTGAAAAAATCATTTCAGATGTTTCTTTCTAGAAAACAAAGAAGTCACAAGTCCATGGTTGCTTTGTTCCCCTTTCCAGAGGCGAGGGGAGTGCACTGACCCAGGGATTGTTCCACTTCCTTCCACCCTCCTTCAGCTGGAGGAGTTCTGTGATTTTGATGGGTTTAAAACAGCAAAGGAGGGGGTTGGGGGAGAAATGAGAACACCCTAAGCATCATCTCAACAAGTGCATTCCAGGACAGAGCAAACAAAGAGGAAATTAAATTTTCCACTTTTCTTTTATCATCCAAACCAAAGCGAAACGAATGCGTCAATCCGAAATTAAATTTTCCATGTTTCAGAAGCCTCCCTTAAGAAAGTGTAATCAG